GTTTACCTACCTGTAAGTTTACCTCTACTAACACAATTATATCCAAAAAACTTGTATGTTAAATTCTATCTCCATTTCTAGACATACTATTCATCCCAAATGTCTGTCTGAATATAGCAGATGTTTTCAAAAGAATCAAAACTCCAGAACATCCACAAAGATACACTAGCATGAAAGATGCACACTCTTCACTAGGGTTTTAATTCAATTTTTCTAAATCATATATCAGAGAATTTGCCAAAAAAAAAAACCTCAAATTTTAAATATTTAAGAGCATGTCTAAAAAATACAATACAAGGGCATAAGAGCTGTGCTGCGCCCAGCATGGTGTGCCCTAGTGGTTTAAGTCCTCGCCTTGAATGCTCCGGGATCCCATATGGGCGGCAGTTCTAATCCCAGCAGCTCCACTTCCCATCCAGCTCCCTGCTTGTGGCCTGGGAAAGCAGTAGAAGATGGCCCTGCACCCAAGTGTGGGATACCGGGAAGAAGTTCCTGGCTCCTGGCTTCAGATTGGCTAGCTCCAACTGTCACAGTCATTCAGGAAATACACCAGTAGATGGACGATGTTTCTGTTTCTCCTTCTTTCTGTAAATTTACCTTCCCAATCAAAATAAATAAATTTTTAAAAAAGAAAAGAAGGGCCCGGCACAATAGATTCATGGCTGGGGTCCTCACCTTGCTCACACTAGGATCCCATGTGGGAACCGTTTATGTCCTGGCAGCCCTGTTTCCACTGCCTGTGACCTGGGAGGGCAGCGGAGGATGGTCCGAGCCCTTGAGACCCTGAACTCACATGGAGGACCTGGTCGGAGGGGTGTGGTTCCTGGCTCCTGGCTTCGGATCAGCTCAGCTCCAGCTGTCATGGCCATCTGGGGAGTGAATCATCAGACGGAGGATCTTCCTCTCTGTATGTCTGCCTTTCCAATATAAATAAATAAATCTTAAAAAAAATTATTTTTGTCCACAATTGTAGGCACCTTCCTAACTTGCACTGTACCTAGGCAGGTGTTGCACTACTGGGAGAAAAGCAGCTAACAGCTGGTGGGCATTGCAGACCTGATTCACACCAAATTTGAGTTAACTATACCAGTGTGCCAGCATAGTCATCTATTCTTTTTCTTTATTTCTTCTTTTTTTTTTGAAAGTCAGATATACAGAGAGAAGGAGACACAAAGAGGAAGATCCTCTGTCCGTTGATTTACTCCCCAAGCGGCTGCAATGGCTGGAGCTGCGCCGATTCGAAGCCAGCAGCCAGGAGCCTCCTCCGGGTATTCCACATGGTGCAAAGTCCCAAGGCTTTGAGCTGTTCTTGACTGCCTTCCCAGGCCACAATCAGGGAGCTGGATGGTAAGTGGGGCAGCCAGGATTAGAACTGGCACCTATATGGGATCCAGGCGTATGCAAGGCGATGTCTTTAGCCGCTACGCTACCACGCCAGGCCCAATTATTATTTTTTTAAGCTTTTTATTTTTTGCAGATACCAGCATGCTGACAGACAGGGTCTGAGGACTAGCATGCAAATGTGCATGGGTTCTAGGTAGGCAGGCAAGGTCCCAGGCTGACATGGCATACCACAAGAGTAGCAGGCATCAGGGACTATGGATTGCTTTGGGAAGTGGGCTTGGAGATGTGTGGGAAGAAGGACCGCTGAGACAGAACATGACAGGTGAGGAGCTACTTCTGGAGGACTTCTATCCACCTGGATACTGCACTTTCAGGAATACAAGGGGGCTGAGTCTGGGTGGTCTGAAGGAGGGAAACCAGATGATCTTTTGGAGTCACACCAATATACCCATCCATGTGGGAGACCTGAGCTGGGCTAGTTAGCACCAAAACTGCCATCCAGTGCCCACAAAAGGCATGGCTGCAGGGCCTGCCTACCAGAGCTTAACCACAGTGCCCGTCAGTGAATCTTGGAGCAGTGGTTCACGATGTTAGCCTGGGCCATGACACTAATCATCCCATGAGAGAACCGGGTCAGGGAGCAGATTCTGTGGAGAATCACAAGCTCATTCCTGTGGGACTGTCATACCAATCTGTTTGTTTGAGAGTTAGCATGGGAACAGGCTGAGTTAGACATGACTGTGGAACTCAGCAACACTCATGGGCACTGGGATTGGAAACAGGCCAGGCTAGTCCAGGGGTAGTAACCACAGGTACACCCAAGAACTGGTGTGAGGCAGGCCAGGTCGCAATATCCACCAGCGCACTCAAAGGCCAACACTGGGGAGGAAAGCAGACTGCCAGGTAAGGGCCTAGCGCCCACTGGCACACATGAAATCTGGGTCTGGAGCTAATTAAGAAACTTGGGGAACTCCCCTGGTGGGCCACTGCTTCTGTTGGTAAGCATGTGAGTCGGGGCTGGAGTTGGTCATGCTGGGCAGGGCTGCTTCACTTGTCGGCAGGTGTATGGGTTGGCTCTGAGGGGGCAGCCAGGCCAAACCTTAGCATAGTGGCATGTGCAGGAGCAAAGATAGGATGCAGGCCATGCTGGGCAAGGTTAGGTTATCACACCTACTGGTATGCAGGAAAGTCAGTGAGGGAGGCAAGCTAGAAGAACTGGGCTGCAGTACCCCTCAACAAGAGTTGGGACTGGGGACAGGCCAGGCTGGGTCAGGCCAGGCCACAGCATCTGATGGCAAAAGCCAAGCTGGGAAATGGGCTATGCCATGCTGGGAAGGGGCAAGGCAACTGCTGGCACATGTAAGATCTGTGGCTGAGAGCAGGCCTGGTTGGAGAGCTAAGCACACATCCATGTTGGGCTGCAGTTCCCACTAGTGAGTGTAACGGTTAGAATGGGGGCAGTAATGCAGCATTAGCTAGCAAGTGCTGGGAATGGGCAAGTCCTATCAGACTAGAGTGTAGAACCACCTGGCAAATGCAAGATCCGGGAATAGGAGTGGGCTCAGTAGGGAAACAGTGGGCACTTCTCTGATGGGTTGCAATTCCCACTATGAGAACCAGATCTGAGGACAGGTCTCTGGCTAGACAGTGGTGGCACCTGCCAGTATGAGTCTTGAGCTGGAGAATGCGGTTGGTTGGGCTATGCTTGGATCCAACGTCCATTGATATGCACAAGAATTGAATGGGTGTTGGACAGACTGGGTCAGTCTGTTACACAGAGGCTTGTGCAGGAACCCAGGCTGGAGATGGGCCTAGCAGGGGCTATAGGGTGTCATTTTGACTAGGTTGCAGTGTCCTCTGGTGTACAGGAGAGCCAAGCATATGGTGGGCAGGGCTGGGCTGAGCTGCAGCATCCATTAGTGTACATATGAGATGAGGCTGGTGACAGAACTGACCAAGTCATTGCACCACCAATGTGTGTGTTGGCTGACATAAATGATGGACTGAGCCTGACCGTCCCCAGCTGTCCCCAGGAGCCAAGTGAGAGTTATCTCTGGCAAAGTTTCTTTGGAGAGTCCCCTATGGAACCCTGGGCTCAGAACTCCAACCAGTCAAAAATCACAGGATCTGTGGTCTGACCAAGCAATGCATATGTGAGAACTGGGTCTGCACAATTGCTGAGGCCTGTGCAATGAAAGGCATGCCCAGATGTTCATGGAGGACATGACAACCAATTCATTGCGGTCTGCAGAGGACATCTAGTACCATGGAGGACAGAACAAATTGGACAGCTCTCCTGGACAATTATCTTTGTGAATCAAGACACTGACGTAGACTATGTCAGCTAACAGACATTGGAAGGATTTCCTCAACTTTGGAGCACTGAAATCAATAGCATCTCAGAATTATCAAAACCACCTAAGCAGAGTGCTCGGAACATACTCCACCCCAGGGACCCTGTGAAGACATCAGATGACCTTCCCTCATTCCTGGATACTAATGCAGTTGGGCTGCTGGGAGCAGTCCTTTCTCTTTCTTTTCGCACTTTCCCCAGATACAAGAACAAAAGAGATCAGAAGCAGTTGTCTCATCCACTTTCCCCCATTCCTCAACCATGCCCAGCCCATGTGGTCCACATGGGCATGTATCCCTCTCAAATATGTAAATCATCTTCAAAATAAAAATGAATTAATTATTTAAAATTAAATAAATAAAAGACAGAAATTATATTTAAATGTTATATTTCTGAATCATACATTGCATTCAAAATCTCTCCCACAAAATGAAACACTCCTGTAAATGCAAAACTTATAGAAAATGTAATTGGACTTTGAACATTAAAAAATGATTCCTTTATTTTCACAGCAATGACTCTCAAAATTCAATTTTATACTAATTATTTTTAGAGAAACAAGAACTGTAAAATAAGTCTATTATTGTGTTGTGTATCGAATCATCATCATTGCATCTATAATACTGCATTATTAGATGACAGGTCAGAGGGTTTCTAACACACTATGTAGTCACCAATATATCTTTATATTTCCTAAAAGTTTACTTAAAAGGAAATATAAAGACCAGCTTATCTAATTGCTGTTTTTATATAATTACTAAGTTTGAAGCATCTTTGATTTTTGTCATTTTTACTTTGTTATTGTTCTTTTTTTATTCACTGATCTAAGAAATAAATCCCATACCATTTTATAAAATAAATATTTTATAATTATTTTCTGATATTCAATACTACAATGGTCTATATTGCTTTTGATTGTAACTATAATTCAAATTCTCTAGATATTGAATTCCCCTATATTAATAAGTACTTGAATCTATAAGTCCTATGAATATAGGACCACAGTTACTAAATGGAGCATTTTTTCCACTGCTGACTAACGATGATGAATCAAGCAGTATTAACATTCTACATGTAACTCTTGCATTGTCAGCTAAAGCTTACCAAGATGTTCCAAATACATGAAAGGAAGGCATAACATGCTACACAATCATAAAAAGTTAGAGCTTAAAGAAACCTTAAAGCTCACTACTTCTATTTTAAGCATTTTTGTATCTGAGGAGACTCAAAGAGCACACATGAACCTGTAGTCACACTGTTTATATAAGGTATAAGGCAATACAATGTCACCTGCGTATCTTACCTTTCTGGTGATGCCTTCAAAGTGACAGGACACTCGTGGACAGCTTTTTTACTCTTATGATCTAGAGAGAGGACTTTATTTCTTGGGCTTCTTTTCCACTAGAAATAAAATATTCAATGTTAATGATAAAATAACATTATCACAAAGCAATTAAGGTATTAACTTTCCTTATAAACTACACAGCCAAATTCATAGTTCACAAAGGAAAAAAAAATTCTGTAGAATACTTGCCTCTTTGTCTAGTACAGAAATATAAGTTCACTAAAAAAAAAAATAGCAGAAAGACATTTTAGAATACCTGAGCTGCTTTAGTCAGCAAATCAGCACTTTGAGATTCCATATAACTGCAAAGTTATTCCAAATAACTACAAAAATAACTGCTTAACAGAAGTAGTAAGAATCATTTTATGCCAGGTTAAACACGGCAAGTATCATTATCAGTCTGATTAGCCCTGGCATCTTCCCTGAGCAATGAACACTACTCGGTAACGGTGAAATCCAGGTGCAATATAAGCTCAGGATCAGACAGGTAGCTAAAGCACTGCCTCTGCAACCCTCCTCCAAACTGCGTCATGCAGCAGAACCTTCTCCAGCCAGTGAGGAGGAAAAAGGAAATTAAGCTTAGAACTTTGCCTCAGATAGGGGCCTGAGACACATGACATGGTGAGACACAGAACCAAAAAGGCCTTCATCCCCAAGGTAGTGCTCTCAGACAGAGCCTGTAAACGTGGCCAGCACCAAGCTTACTAGAGTTATGTCCTAGGCAGTTAAGCTTACACACAGACACATATCCAGTGCTAAGTCAAGCTCAGTAGCAGGCAGACCATCACAACTAAGGCGTTGGCCAGGCCCCATCCTGAATTGTCCAACCAACATCCTGAACTCTCCTTGGTGGGCTCCAGACTCCAGCTATGATCTATGTTTTATGCATATTAGGCCACAAATCAAGCCTCAACAAATTCAAAAAGAAATCATACCATGTCTTTACAGTCTTCTTAGACTGTAAAGGAATAAAAGTAGAAATCAACAAGAAAAAATACTTAAAAGTGCGTGGAAATTAAAATTTTATACTGATCGATAGATCACAAAAATATAAAAACAAAAACTTTCTTCAAGAAGGTGTCAAGGCAGTTTGGGGAAGCTCTTTGGAAGAACCAGGACTTGAACTTCCCTTGGAGGCCAGCTGGAGTCACAGGCATTGGAAAAGCTGGGGAGTGGGAATCCAGAAGCAGGGTTTCAGGGTGGACGGGTAGGGGTTAGAATGTACCAATCCATTTTGGGCAGTTGTGACAGCCGTCACTTGGGCACCAGATGTTGGGTGGAATATGACTCCAATGGAGTCTTAGTCTGGATGGTTAGGAATGCTAACTATATTTTTTTATGAAGCACACTTGAAACAAAGTTTGAAGTCCTTTTTGCGGGAATAATGTATGCACCCTAAATTGGGAAGAAAAAAACAACTTTCTTTAAATAGCATTAAAATGAAAACACAATATTAAAACCTGTAAGAATACAATAAAAACAGTATTTATTAAGGGAGAATGATTATATCAGAAAGAAAAACATCTCAAACATCTAATGATTATTTTAAAGACTTAGATAAACAAGACAAGCCAAACCCAAAAGCAGGAGGCAAGAAATAATAAAGAGCGTAAAAAAGATGAAACTGAAACAAAAAACAAAAGATCAACAAAACAAAAAAACGAAGGTAAAATACATGGTGGCTGGCACAATGGCTCAATTGGCTCTGCCTGCAAGAGCTGGCATCCCACATGGGTGCTGGTTCATGTCCCACCTGCTCCACTTCCCATCTAACTCCCTACTTATGGCTTGGAAAAGCATTGGAGGACGACCCACAGCCTTGGGACCTGCACCTGCATGGGAGATCTGGAAGAAGCTCCTGAACCCTGGCTTTGGATCAGCTCAGCTCCAGCCATTGCAGCCATTTGGAGAGTGAACCAGTTATCAGAAGATCTCTCTGTCTGTCTCTCCTTTTCTCTGTACATTTCCTTTCCAAAAAAAAAAAAGAAAAAGAAAAGAAAAGATAAACCGATGAAGAAACAAAGAAGCAGGAGGAGGAGCAGGAAGGAGGAGAAGGAGAAGCAGAAGCACAGGAAGGATAAGCAGAAGGGGAGGGACCAGTGCAAGGGCTCAGTGGCTAAATCCTTGCCTTACACACTCCAAGACCTCATATGGGTGCCAGTTTGTGTCCTGGATGTTCTACTTCCCATCCAGCTCCCTGCTTACAGTCTAGGAAGCAGAAACAGATGGCCAAAAGCCCTGGGACTTGGTGCCCACATGGGAGACCTGAGAAGCTCTTGGCTTCTGGCTTCTGGCTTCAGGTTGGCTCAACTCCAGCCATTGCAACCACCTGGGAAGTGAACCAGCAGATGGAAGATCTTTCTCTCTGTCTCTCCTTCTCTGTACATCTGCCTTTCCAATAAAAGTAAATACATCTTTTTTAAAAATTAAAATACATAAACCACTAACCAGGCTAAAAAAGAAAAAGAAAAAATTCAAATAAATAGAATTAGAATGAAAAAGGAGGCATTGCAATGGACACCACTGAAATACAAAGGATCATATGAAACTATAATTAAGAATTACATGCTAACAGACTAGAAAACCTCAAAGAAATGGACAAATTCCAGAATATACATTACCTACCAAGATTAAATCAGGAAGATATAGACAAAATAGATAGGCAATAAAAACAGACCCATAGCAAGCAAACAGATTAAAGCAATAATCAAAAATCTTCCATCACCCACATGTGTCTGTAATCTCATTACTTTTTTTAAAAACCTCATAAAAAGATCTCCCGTCAAAGAAAAGTTCAAGACTGATGACTTCACTACTAAATTATACAAAACATTCAGAGAAAATAACTCTAATATTTTTTCTAACTATTCCAAAATACTGAGTAAGATGGAACACTATCAAACTCTTCTGAAGAAACTCACATCAGTTTGACACTAAAATCAAAAAGAATCCTTCCAGTCCCAGCACGGTGGCCTAGCAGCTTAAGTCCTCGCCTTGAACGCACCAGGATCCCATTTGGGTGCTGGTTCTAATCCCAGCAGCTCCACTTCCCACCCAGCTCCCTGCTTGTGGCCTGGGAAAGCAGTCGAGGACAGCCCAGAGCCCTGGAACCCTGCACCCACGTGGGAGATCTGAGGAAGTTCCAAGCTCCTGGCTTCAGATCAGAGCAGCTGCAGCCATTGTGTTCACTTGGAGAGTGAATCATCGAATGGAAGATCTTCCTCTCTGTCTCTTCTCCTCTATGTATATCTGACTTTGCAACAAAAATAAACAAATCTTTAAAGCAAAAAAAAAAAAAAAAAAAGAATCCTTCTAGGGACCCAGCGAGATAGCCTAATGGTCAAATCCTCGACGTGCACCAGGATCCCTTATGGGCAAAAGTTCATGTCGAGGCTACTCCACTTTCCATCCAGCTCCCTGCTTATAGCCTGGGAAAGCAGTCAAGGACAGCCCAAGACCTTGGGACCCTAAACCAGCGTTAGAGACCTGGGGGGAAGCTCCTAGCTTCTGGCTTCTGATAGGCTGAGCTTCAGCCATCGTGGCCACCTGAGATGGATCTTTTTGTCTCTCCTTCTCTCTGTAAATCTTTCCAATAAAAAAATAAATAAATCCTTCTTAAAAAAGAATCCTTCAGGATATGAATGGAAAAATTTATGAATGAAGAAATAAACTGTGAGACATCCAGATAATGCACTGCTTTTCAACATTTTTTTTAAATGAGCTACCAAGTCATGACAATGAGAAGATTAGTGACTGTCAGAGAGACTTAGGATATGATTAATCACTGAAGCTCAGAGAACTTTTATGGTAATGAAATACTCCACATTATATTATGTGGGGATATTTATCAATTAAAGAAGGTTTAGATGTATTAAAATGGATTTTAAAAACTGAAGATATTATATGAAATGAAAATACAAGATAGGTCATGATGTCCTTTAAGTAAATGCAAAAAATATATAATAATAATTCATTTATGTGGTTTAAGTATTTTTCTCAATATGAAATTTTCAAAAAATCTATTACTTCACAATCTATGGCTGGGTAAGGACGGGGATGGCAAGCTAAGACGACACCCTGGCTGCATGGTGGTTCCCACTGGTGAGTGCTGGTTCCATAATCTGGGGCTGTGTTCTGGTCTGGATATGGGTGCAGTATCCCTCAGCACAAGTGTGGACTGGGGCTGGGCACACGGAGCTGGGCTAGACTCCAGCACCATCTGGTGCTCTGGAGGACCAGGGTCGGTGTAGGATGAGCTAGAGTAGGTCTCTGCCCATACTGAGCTAGGTGTGAGCCGTGTCTGGGTATGGACGAGCCTTGGCTGCACTGAAACATCCAACAGTAAGAACCAGAATGGACTGAAGACTACTCAGGAAAGACCATTGCTCCTGCTAGGACAGGAAGTGGATTGAGTAGGGTTGGTCCATGGAATCACCAGTATGCGCAAGATCAGACACAGGGAGAGATTCTGATGAAGGAGCTTGGGAAACTTTTCTGTCAGGACACAGTCCCTGCAGGTGAGCACAAGGACCATGATAAGCAGCAGCCCTGACCAGGCCAGGGAAAGGTACCCACCGGGATACATTTGGCACAGGTCAGGGCAAACCAGGCAAGACCAGTTCACATCACTCACTGGTGAATCCAAGTACCAGGACAGAGTGTTGGTCAGGCCAGGCTTAGTTGTAATACATACCGGTACACATTACGACTGGGACTGGGTAACTGATGGACTGGGTTAGGTTGTAGCCTCCACCAACCTGAGCTGCAATGGGGGGTCAGCCAGGCCAGGCCAGGCTACAGCACCCACTGGCAAAATGCCGAGTGAGGTAGACCATAACAGACTGGGCCACAGCACCCAACATGTGAGACCCAGGTGGGGAGGAAAAAAGCCGGTGGAGGCCTGCATGGGGTTCCCCTGCTGGACCACCATTCCCACTTGAGAGCATGAATTAGGATGGGGCAGACCAGGCCAGCCAGGGCTAAACACCTGTGGGACTCATGTGAGCTGGGTCAGGGAAAAGCCAGACTGGGTTGACTGCTCCTACTGGTACAAACG